TCATGATATGGATGACCTCTTGTTCTGGCAAGATGAGGATTCCTCTCCAGAAGACCTAAAAGATGCTATGATAAACACCCTAGAGGAAAAACGTTTTGTAATTGCAACAAATAAAATACAATCTGTCCCCCCATTACCTTCCTGGGGACTGAAATAACACCCACTCTGTTAGGCCCCTCAATCCTGTCCTGGATGTCCCCCATCCACTCACACTTAACTCACTTCAAAGTTTTTTAGGTAATATTAATTGGCTAAGGCCATGGCTTTCCATCCCCACAAGTCAATTACAGCCACTTTTTGATCTCTTAAAGGGAGACAAAAACCCAGCCTCCAGACGGTACCTAAACCCAGATGCAAAAAAGGCTCTTCAAGTAATTAATAGCCACTTCCAAAAGGCATCACTAGCCAGATATGACCCCAAGTTACCTGTTCAACTCTTAATATTTAATTCCTCCCCGACCATGGTAGGAGAAATTCATCAGCCTCACGGAGTACTAGAATGGCTTCACACGCCTGTAGGAGGCGCTCCTTGCTTTCTTACAGAAGTGGACACTCTTGCCTCCATGGTCTGAGAAGGGAGAGATAGAATCATACAAATCATAGGAAAGGAACCGGATACTCTCATTATCCCCTTCTCATTATCAGATGTACAATGGCTCTTAAAGCATCACTCCTCTTTTGCAATTAGCTTAATAGGCTTCCCAGGACAAATTGATAATCACTATCCCAAAGATAAATGGATGTCAGTTATTCCAGTATTTCGCTGGCTCCCACCTCGGCTTTTCTGCCAAAAACCCATAAAAGAGATGATTACAGCCTTTACAGATGGAGGAAAAAAGGGGGCTGCATTGGTCATATATGACTCTCCTAATGACCCACCTATGATATATTTTCAACCTCTATCTGATAAATCCCCACAATTTAAAGAGCTCTTTGCTATCTATATGGCTCTTGATAAGATTGATAAACCCTTCAACCTTTATTCTGACAGCATTTATGCTGTTAATTTACTCCCCTGGCTAGGTCGCTCCTTTATTAAAATAGATGGCAACCCTATATCACCTCTGCTAATTAAAATTTCCACACTGTTACAAAAACGGGTGGCTCCATTATTTGTTCAGCATATCAGGTCCCACTCCTCTCTCCCAGGCCCTCTTACTGAAGGAAATGCCATAGCAGATAAAGTAGCCACCACTGGAACTTTCTCTGCCAGTGTAACAGATGCCCAAAACCTCCACCATACCACCCATATTAATTTGCAAGGGCTCCATCTCAGATTCCCCCACATTCCCCTCAAACAACTTAAACGCATTGTTAGAACCTGCTCTTCTTGCGCATCAGTGATACATACCTCTGCTATGCAATAGATGGGCACCAATCCTAGAGGGCTAAAATCTAATGCCTCTGGCAAATTGATGTAACTCATGTCCCCTAATTCGGCAGACAGAAATATGTATTTGTAACTATAGACACTTCCTCTCACTTCCTCTGGGCTACTGCCCAGAGTAGTGAAAATTCAAGAAAGCTAATAGATCACATGCTTTCATCCTTTGCCATCATGGGCCTCCCTGCACAACTAAAGACAGACAATGGCCCAGAATTTACCAGCTCCTCGTTTAAAAATTTTTGTGAAGCCTGGAAAATCACCCATCACACTGGCATCCCATACAACCCACAAGGGCAAGCCGTTGTGGAAAGGTCACATAGAACCTTAAAAGACCAATTAAAAAGACAGGTTCAAACAACATATTCTCCCAATATTCAATTAACATTAGCCTTGTTTACCCTTAATGTACTTAATGTATATCGAGGGACTGATGCTCCCCCAATCACCCGACACTGGGCCCAGACACACCCAGTACCACCCATCATGGTCAGATGGAGGGACCCCTTTGATGGACTCTGGAAAGGACCAGATCCATTGCTGACCACAGGGAGAGGATTTGCTTGTGTTTTCCCACAGGATCAACCAAAGCCTATCTGGGTTCCAGCCAGAAATGTCCAACACCTCCCCGCCCACGAAAAAGATGGCCTGCATGACCCTGTCAGAGACAAAGAAAAGAAAGAGGCGGAGATGACACCCAAAGCCACACCAGATCACGTGGAAAGAGATCCATGACCTAGTGGAGACTGCTCGCCGCAGACGTCCCCCTCTACTATTTTGAGGCACAGTTAAAACTTGTTGCTCCACCAATGTCCAAAGTTTGCAAAGAGCTGTTGAGGAACTCTCCAAAAGAGAAGCTGGGGTACACGTGGGCACTCCCCCATTTGCAGCTGCTCTAACCCCAGGCTTCCCTACATGTACCCACCCCACATCAGGTGGGTATGTCTTATGATCCAATTCTGCTTTCTTCAGCCTATTCTCAAGAATACCATGATTTTGTCAAAGAGTTTCATGAAACCCATGCTCACTGTCTTCATAACTTTGCAGATACCACACAGCCCTAGTATAGAAGGAAAGAGGGACAGCTGAATATGGATTACTTTCGATGCACTAATCATTACCTCTCCAAATGTACTGATCTGATTAATCTGGAAGGGTATATTCGAAGTCCTTGCCCTTGACACTGTCCCCTTTAATTACTATAAAATGTTAAGGTGGAGTGCTATAATGTTCTTTACAATCACCTATTTAAGTAGTGTCTCAGGTACTCTTAGGCAGTATGAATTCCTAAACGGCCTCCAAATAATTAGAAAATAAGAACCATCACTGACAGTGTTATGAAAGGCTTATTCTATAGGATCTCAGAAATGGTTTGACTTTTGACACTGTCACAGTCATTCTCCTTTGTTCTAGAGCAGCACATGTTTTTTTCCAGTGGTGAGTTACTCTCACCTCTCCTGCACCTCAGCTCAGTGGTTTGATAGGGTTGCAGACATAGTTATAGGACACAGTGTGTCCTCCCTGGTCACAGAGAGCTGGTCAAGAAAAGTCATGCAAGACTTGAACCAGTTAACCCATTCCATGTCTCTAGCCATAGTGATTAATTTGGAGATAGCCACTTGGGTCAATGAGAGTTAGGCCCCAAATTTTATTGTCATTACTAGAAAAACAAACTTGTTCTTTTTTGCTAGAAGTGCTAGTAGTAAAGACAATGTGGAAGGGCAATCATCCACAAGACACAATAAAAGTGAAGCCAAAATAGATGCCAAATGAATCACAGAGAGATCAACCCCTAACTAAACCCACTGTGCCTTAAGCTAGATCTTCTATGTATTCTTCAGTTTATATACCATAACATCCCACTTGTGCTTCAGCCAGGAGAACTGGATTATTGTTGGGGAATCCTGCTGTGAGGGTCGCAGTCTTCCATGTCTGGATAGCTCTAAGGAGCTCGGCGCCTGATGGAAAGACTCCTCTTTTCAGCAGGGGGCCTCCTGCCTCTCTTCCTGACTCATCTTTGAAGCAGCCGTCACAGAAACATGGCTTCTGGCTCTGAAACTGCCAGGTTTTCCTGTGTGATTATCAGGCACTGTCTGACAGCCTGGCAGAAGCCCACCGCCACATGTAAATAGGACATCCTAAAAGCACCTATGAATTAAGGCTTTTGCTACTACCCCCACAGTATAAATATCCTGGGTTTCCCCTTAATAAATCGGAGTTGCATCAGAGCTGTGTCTGAAGCTGTATCATTGAATCCTGCATCTCTCCGGAGGGGGCTGTCTCTTTGTAAACAATGACTAGTGAAGATTCTGCTTTCACTGTTCCTGCATCTTCCCACGTGATCCGGCGGCCGGCGGATCTCTCCTACCTCAAGGGAGTGCCCGGTAGTTTGGAACAGAACCCACCCGGGCAGCTGACAGTGGTGCTCTAGAGCCGCCAGCCCCGGTAGCCGCGGAGAGCCTCAGCAACGTGAAAAACAGGGACCCGCCCCAGCGGTGGAGAGCCAGGGACCCGAGACGCGGTGCGTGACCCTCCGCACCCCAGCGGTGGGCGGGAGACCGGTGCCACGCCCAGCAGCTGGCGCTCCAAGATCCCTGCGAGCCCATAGAATACCATTTTCCATTTTTTTTTTTACCCCAAGGTGGTATTTGATGTTAAGGTTTGTTTCTTGGAGGGAGCAAAATGATGGACCTTGTTTTCTAATTCTGTTTGGCTCTTTTTATTAGGGAACTGAGACCACTCATATTAAGAGTTGTTATTGACATGTGTGTATTTATTCTTGTCATTTTGTTTCTTTTGTGTTTTTTTATTATATATCTTTTGATTGACTGACATGGTATTGTTTATTTTTCCTCTGTGATCTCTTTGGTGTGTTTATTCTTTTCAGTCTGAAGTATTACTTCCGGTTTCTTCTGTAAAACTGGGTTACTCATAAATTTCTTTAGTCAGTTTTTATCATGGAAAATTTTCATTTTCCTTCAATTATGATAGATAGTTTTGCTGGATAGATAGTTTGCTGTCTGATTGACAGCTTTCAGAGCTTGGAATACAGTGTTCCAAGTCTTTCTGGCTTTAAAGGTTTCTATTAAATAATCAGCTATCATTGTGAGTGGCTTGCTCTCTCTTAGTTTTCAATGCCCTTTCTTGGGGCTGGAGAGATGGCTCAGTGATTAAAAGTGTATATTGTTCTTGCAGAGGACCTGAGTTGGATTCCTAGAACCCACATGGAACAGCTTACAACTGCCTGTAACTCCAGCTCCAGGGGGATCCAATGCCTCTGGTCTTCATAGGCACTGGCACTCCCACGCATAGGCCCACACACATACACGTAATTAAAATATAAATAAGCTGGGTGTGGTGCCATATGCATTTAATTTCAGCACTTGGGAGGCAGAGGTAGGTAGATGTCTAGAGTTTGAGGTGGGCCCAGTCATTCCAGGTCAGCCAGGGCTACATAATGAAACTCTGTCTCAAAACTCCAATTAACAACAACAAAACCCCCAAAACAAAAACACCCCCCCCAAACTGTATCTTTTTTATTCCATGTTTTTTGGTCCTATTTGGTTTTCTGTATGCCCTTGTACTTGGTCATTTATGTATCTAGATTTGGGAAATTTTTGTCTAGTTTTTGAAAATACCTTTTATCCCTTTGGCATGGAATTCTTTTCCTTGTACCATGTGTGTATAATTTTTTTTTTTGTCTTTTGAGACAGGGTCTCCCTGTAGCCCCAGGTAGCCTAGAACTCACTATGTGGACCAGGCTGGCCTTGAACTCACAGAGATTAGCCTGCCTCTGCCTCCCGAGTGCTGGGACTAAAGGTGTGTGCCATCATGCCCAGCTTGTGTGTGTAATTTTTAAGTTTGGTCTTTTTGTCATAGTCCAAAGCTCTCTCATGTTCTGTTCACATAAATTTTCCAATTTTTCATTGACCTTTACTGAATGACCCAGTTCTTCAACCTTGTCTATGATCACTGATACTCTGTTCTGCACATGATATAGTCCGTTGGTAAGTCGTCCACTGAAAATTTTACCTAGCTTATTGAGTTTTTCATCGCCAACATTTCAGTTTGACTTTTCTTTAGCAAGTTTATCTTTTTATTAAATTCTAGTTCTGTATCTTGAATTGACTTATTTCATTCAGCTCTTTTTGTTCTCTTAGAGTACAATAGTCTTCTTTGAGTTGTTTGAACATATCATTCATTTGAATTCTTTGTCTGGAGGTTTCTTTAAGTTGTCATTACTATGGGATTGGTAATTTTTGGAGGACATATATCTAATTTTGGGGGGGCGTATATGTGTGTGTTCTTTTTATTTCTGCATTGGGCCTTTTGTATCTTAGTTTGTTGGTTGAGTTCTTCCTCCCTTTCTTCACTCCCTCCCTCCCTCTCCCTTCCTCCTTCTTTCCCTTCTGCCCTCCCTCTCTCCTTCCCTCCCTCCCTCCCTTCCTCGTTCAAGTCACCTTCCTTCTTTTGTGGAGGGTTTGTTCAGGAGTAGCCTAAGTTGGAATACAGTGTGAGACCGGTATTCAGAGCTGTGGTCTGTATGCCTAGTCTTCTTCTGAGAGTCACCTAAGGTCTGTCTTAACAGCCACTGTCCAGGAGTCAGCACACCTCTGGTGGCTCCCTACTTCTGTTGCTGTTGCTTCAAGGTATGGCCCCCTGTGCCTGAGCACACCCTGTGCCTGAGTGCCATATTCTAGGTCAGTTCCTTTCTCTCCCTGCTTCTGCAGCCTCTGCATGTTGGTCTATATGTGTTGGGAAGCCCTACCTTTGGTCAGGTCTGGCCTGCTCCCAGCCTCTAGTATTTGTATGGCCCCTGCAAGCCAAGGTTCCCTACCATGGGTCTGCTCTAGCCTGCTCCCTGTTTCCATCACTTTGGCTGAGTTTTGTGGTTCCCCATGTACTTGGCCCACTCACCATTTCTGCCTCTTGTGCATTTTGTGAGTCCTGTGCCCCTGGGAGCCCTACCCTGCTACCAGATCTATCCTAATCCTTGCTTCTGTAGCCTCCACCCTACCCAGGGCAATTAACTGCAGTTTTTTTTTGTTTTTGTTTTTTTTGTTTGCTTGTTTGTTTGTTTTTTGAGACAGGGACTCCCTGTAGCCTCATTGGCCTGGAACTTGCTTGTAGACCTGGCTGGCCTCCATCTTACAGAGGTGCTGGGATTAAAGGCATGTGCCACCACACCTAGCCTTTAGTATTTAAAAACAAATTTCTGTTTATTTTTATTTTATACGGATGAATGTTTTGCTTGAATGTATGTAAGAGCACATGTTTGCCTGGTACCCATGGAAGCCAGAAGAGGGCATTGGATCTCCTAGAACTGGAATTAAGGGTGGGTATTAGCCACCACGTGGGTGTCAGAAACCAAACCCAGGTCCTCTGGAAGAGCAATAAGAGCCATCTCTCCAGTCCCTTTATTTAGTATTTAAAAAAATATTTTATTTATTGCGGCTGGCAGTGGGTGGAGTGGGTGCGAGCCCCTGTGAGGTGGCAAATCCTCTGGGCCTGTGTTCTCGAGCCCTGCACCTCCTAGGCTTAGGGCAGCCAGGGCCATGCCCCAGGTGTGGGAACGCAGTGAGCCAGAGGTTCCAGGAAGGAGGGAGAGTCGAAGACAGGATGGTGGCAGTGGTCCACTGCAGTGCCAGCAGTTGTGCAGGCTGGTCAGCTGGTTGTGAGCTACCCCTGCTTGTGGCAGAAGAATGTTATTACTCTTAAGTATGAGAGGCCTGTCTCTGGGGCTGACACTGAGGTTCATGTGAGATATATGCCCTGTGGACGAGAACTCTGCTGCACACCAGAATTTAAACCTCTCAGAAGTATGTGGTAGAACTAAAGAAGACAACAACCAAGGGTCATCTGAAATTGTGATTGGCTCACTGATAATCCCAGGAAAAAAAATTAGAGATCACAACTTGAGCACAAGAGACGCTTGACATAAGGGCTTGGGCTGAGTATGTTGTGGAATGGGCTGCAAAGGAACCATATGGCTTCCTTAAAACACTTATTTTGGCCCTCATGCCATTGTTCCTAGCTAGTGCTGCTCTATCCTGGAAGTTGGTCAAGATGATTGAAGCCAGGGAGAAAGAGCAAAAGAAGAAACAAAAACATCAAGAAAATGTTTTAAAAGCTAAACGACTAAAAACAGATTGAAGGGGGCTAGAGAGATGGTGGGGGCTGGAGGGATGCTCAGCAGTTAAGAACACTGGTTGTTCTTGCAGAAGACCTGGGTTCGAATCCCAGCACCCACATGGCAGCTAACAACTGTCTGTAACTCCAGTTCCAGGGGATCCAACACACTCCTGTCTTCTATGGACACGGGTGCACTTACCTACATGCAGGCAATACACACATACACATAAAATAAAAACAATAAATAAAATATTTAAAAAGTGATTATAAAAAATGGATTGAAGGAACTGGCTCTCCAACTAGAGAGAAATCATTTGGAAAATTATGCAGCTTTGGAAGGACTCAACTAAGGTTTCAATTGATTTCATGATAGTATTATCTAGTAATTTAAATCTGACTCTATAGAAAAATCATTTCCTGACCTCAGTAATGTGGTAATTTTAGGCTTGAAAATAGAAGATTTTGGGTATCTACTGTCAGGCATTATAAATTCAAAACCCTTACTGCTGCAAAATCTGACCCCTGTGTGCAGACATGATGGCAAGAGTGAGAAATTCCACACTGAGCTTGTGATGGGCTGCAGTTAAAACACAGGTGCACAAAAATACATGAAATAACTTTCAAGCTATATGAAATATAAATGAATTTTGTGTTTAGAATTGACAGTTGTTTGCCATTTTGGAGCTTATGTATTCAAGTGGAAAACATCCTGCGGAGGAAAAAGGCTCTAGATTATGAATCCTATTCAAATTGTGGTTTAAGATGGGGCTCAAATCTGGAAAGAGGGCATTAGGGATGTAAAAGAATTATTCTCTGAGGTGAAAAGTTTACCTTGGTTTAAAAGAGATACATATATTAATCACAATTTAAAAATCATTATTGCTTATTTCTTGAAATAAAGCATTTCTTACTTTCTGAAAGGAAATATTAATAAGTATGTCTACTTGCATTTTTCTTACTTTAGCCTTTGAGACAACTGGTAATTATGAAGCCATTCTGCATTTTTAAACCTAATTTTATAACAAATTCTCATTATCTTGACCATGTAGAACACCACCTACTGGATAGGCTAACTTTTGTACTTCTGAAAACTGCCATTTTCCTAGCTGAGTTAAGAAGCGTAACATGGCCCAAAGCTTGCTGTGGAATGCCAAGCACTGTTAGTACTGTGGAATCAGTTTCTTACGCTGACTAGAACTATAGTTAAATGTCTTATCAGATAATTTGCTGATTATGGAAATACTTTTGTTTTTAACTAATATGGTAGTGTCTTGTTAATTTTTAGTCATATAGATTCAAAGCAAAAATTTAAATTTCATACTTGTGAAGTCATGCTCCATTACTGATAAAGCCTCAAAAATTTGAAAAAATTTTCTGGGCGTAACAGTGATCTCAAGAAATGGAAAAAATGGCTCTTCTGCTGTTGTCGCCATTGTAGGCGCATCTCAGTCTTCGCCTTTGCCTGCGAGAACCCACCACCATCGGCCACAGATAGTGAACTTCACAGTGGATCAGATTGGAGCCTTCATGAACCAGAAGGCCAACATCAGGAACATGCCTGTCATTGCACATGTGGACTACAGCAAGTCCACACTGACAGACTTGCTGGTGTGTAAGACAAGCATCATTGCCTCTGAACCACAAGGATGAGCAGGAGCACTGCATCACCAAGTCCACTGCCATCTCACTCTTATATGAGCTGTTGGAAAATGACATGAACTTCATCAAGCAGAGCAAGGATGGGTCAGGCTTCCTCATCAACCTCATCGACTCCCCGGGCCATGTGGACTTCTCTCCAGAGGTGACTGCTGCCCTGCGAGTCATGGATGGTGTCCTGGTGGTGGTGGACTGCGTGTCTGCTGCTTGCATACAGATGGAGATGGTACTGCAATAGGCCACTGCTGAGCACATCAAGCCTGTGCTGATGATGAACAAGAGGACTGTGCACTGCTGGAGCTGCAGCTGGAGCCTAAGACACTCTACCAGACCTTCCGGCGCATCGTGGAGAACATGACCATCATCATCATCATCTTCACCTACTGCGAGGGTGAGAATGGACCCATGGGCAACATCATGATCGACCCTGTCCTGGGCACAGTGGGCTCTGGCTCCAGTCTGCATGGCTGGGCTTTCACCCTGAAGCAGTTTGCAGAGATGTATGTGGCCAAGCTCACTGCCAAGGGTGAGGGCCAGGTGGGGCCTCCTGAACATACCAAGAAAGTAGAGGACATGATGAAGAGGCTGTGGGGGACCGGTACTTGGACCCAGCCAATGGCAAGTTCAGCAAGAATGCCAATAGCCCCGACAGCAAGAAGCTACTGTGCATCTTCTGCCAGCTCATCCTTGACCTCATCTTCACGCCATCATGAACTTCAAAAAGGATGAGACAGCCAAGCTGATTGAGAAGCTGGACATCAAGCTGGACAGCGAGGACAAGGTTAAGGAGGGCAAACTGCTGCTAAAGGCTGTGATGTGCAGCTGGCTACCACAGGGGATGTGCTGCTGCAGAGGATCACCATCCACCTGCCCTCACCAGTCAAGGAGCAGAAGTACTATTGTGAGCTGATCAGACCCTTCGGTCCCCGAAATCAGACCAGGTGGTGTCGGACTGTGAGACAGCGAGCGAGGAGTCAAATGTGCTGTGCCTGGCCAAGTCCCCCAACAAACACAACCGGCCCTTCCCTGATGGCCTTGCTGAGGACATCAACAAGGGTGAGGTGCCCGCCCTCCAGAAGCTCAAGGCTTCTGAGCTCAAGCTCAACCTGGCTGAGAACTATGAGTGGGATGCGGCTGAGGCCTGCAAGGTCTGGTTCTTTGGGCCCTATGGTACTGGCCCCAACATCCTCACTGACATTACCAAGGGTGTGCAATACCACTCCACTTTCAGTGGACCACCAAGGCAGGTGCACTCCAAGGAGAGCATGCTTGGTGTGCACTTCGATGTCCATGATGTGTCCCTTGATGTCCATGATGTGACCACTCACGCTGATGCCATCCACTGTGGTGGTGGCCAGATCATTCCCACACCTTGCCTTTGCTTCTATGCCAGTGTGCTGACTGCACAGCCCCGCCTCATGGAGCCCATCTACCTGCTGGAGATCCAGTGTCCTGAGCAGGTGGTCGGTGGCACCTACGGTGCTCTGACAGGAAGCAGGGCCACATGTTTGAGGAGTCTCAGGTGGCCGGCACCCTCATGTTCGTGGTCAAGGGCTACCTGCCGGTCAACAAGTCCTTTGGTCTCACCGCGGACTTGTACTCCAACATGGCGGCCAGGCGTTCCTGCAGTACTCGACCACTGGAAGATCCTCCCTGGAGACCCCTTCTACAAGAGCAGCTGCCTCAGCCAGGTGGTCGCCGAAACACGCAAGCGCAAAGGCCTGAAGGAGGGCATCCTGGCCCTGGACAACTTCCTGGACAAACTAGGCTGCCAGCCCTGTGCCTGGCTCTACTCTGTGCGCATTATCTCTCGCCTGAGACTGTGCCCACAATGCTGCCAACCCAAGGCTGCCCGGCCCCTCTGTGCCATGATCCAGTGCTACCTGACTCCAATTCTTTATTTCTAGCAGGGGATCGTCCTCCACAGGGACTGGTGGGTCATGGGGTAGTCATGGGCATGACACAATGCCCATCATTTTCAGAGGGAAACATGTCCAAAAGTCTAAATAAACGCATTCAGAGGTTTAAAAATAAAAAAAGAAAGAAATGGAAAAAATGGCTATTAGAAGTTCAAAGCTAAAGCTCTTTTAGGTGGTAAAATGACTTTTTGCCTATTAAATAAACATGGCTTTTTAAATGCATGGTCCAATAACTATCTACTGCAGTATTTAATTGTTTACTGATGTTTTCTGCACCTCTGGTAATGAATTTTAATTAGAATAATTGTCCAATTATTTTAATGAAAAATGAAACTAAATATTGAAATAAATTTGACCCTTTTTTGTAAAGAAAAAATTTATTATTTTTTGTGTCTGAGTGTATTGCCTGCATGCGTGTAAGTGCACCTGTGCCATGCAATGCTGGAGGAGGTCAGAAGAGGGTGTCAGATCCCCTGGAACTGGAGTTGTTAGCTGCCATGTGGGTGCTGGGAACCCAAACCAGTTCCTCTGCAAGATCAGTCAGTGCTTTTAACTGCTGAGCCATCTCTCCAGCCCCAATATTTAGTATTTTTAATGATTTTAATATTTTATTTCTTCCTTTCAAATTTAGATGCCTTATATTTCCTTTTCTCACTTAACTGTTCTAACTAGAACGTCTATTATTGAACTGGGCATCACTGTCTTATTTCTGAGTTTAAGAGAAAAACTTTTTGTCCCATGCCATGGATTACATTACTTGTGGGTTTTCCATATATGGCCATTGTCATGTTGAAGACATGTCTTTCTTAGTTTATTGGTGTTTTTATCCTTTACATTATTTTAAATGTGGAGCAAATAAAAACTTCCATCTTGGCCATTTAATTTTTAAGCATATGGCCTAGTCCTATTAAGTACATTTATGTTGTACAACTATCAATGCTATCCATCTTCAGAATCTTTGCATCATTCCACGTTGAAATTCTTGTACTTATTAAAAATACCCCCTGACCCTGGGCCTGGAGTGATGGCTCAGCAGTTACGAGAATTTGCTGCTCTTCCCAGCATCCATGCTGGACAGCTTACACCTACTTGCTCCAGGAGATCCAGTGTCCTCTTCTGGGCTCTGTAGTCACTCACACATATGGCATTTGTTCTACTAAGTAAGTTTCAGGACCTCCATAGAAGGGCATCTCTATACAATCACATTAGGCTTATGACTTCCTATCTGGACTGAAGAGCCCAAATTTCAATATTCCATCCCCTTCCTCCAGTATTTCCATTCCTTCTATCACTACTTCCACAATGTTCTCCTCGGATCTCCACATCTGTGCTATGGCATACATACACACACACACACACACACACACACACACACACACACATACACACATAAAAATGAAAATAAATTTTAACCCACACTCCTTTTCCTTCCTCTAGGCTCTGGTA